TCGTGTAAACCACACACTGACCGTGGAAATTTCCCCACATGCACAGCTGCCTGCGTCGCTTTCGTTATCCCCGATGTACCGGAAACCGAGAAAACAGCTCAACTGCAGTCCAAGAATCCCGAGTTTAGTCCGTTGTATAATCGCACCAAGAGCTGGAAAGCGCCAGCTGGAAAACGAAGCGCCTCTGGTCTCTATGGCCACACTTACGGATAGTGGATGGTATCATATATTTCAGAATGGACTAGCCCATTTACGGCGAATTATTGTGCCCACAGCTGTAACTGGAGAAGTCATGTGAAGAAGCCGCCACTAATTAAGACAATCCGTACATAACGAACTTCAGACTGCAATTTGATTTGGGTTCTGATAACCTCACCTACGGCGTGACAACGCTATATATTGCCAGTCGTGCGTCTACTGTACAAGGAGTAAGAACCCCACAGCCACTCTTCTCGGTCCACTGTATCCAATGACAGCTGGATTTGCGAACGAGATCGTGGGTATCGGCATAATTGACCCTATGTCAGTGAATGCTAGAGGCCATCGTTACGTTCTGGTGATGGTGGATTAGTCGACCAAATGGTGTAAAGCAATGGAAAGTGGCACCAGATTTCTCCAGAAACTGGGTGGCAAGGTGGAGATCACCCTATCACTTGCACCCAGACCGAGGAACCAACTTCGAAAGCATACTCGTGAGCAAGATTTGTCACACTTTTGACATTCGAAAGACATGGACCACTGCGTATCACTCTGAATGAAACGTGCTATTGGTACACACTAACCATACAATGAAAACGTTATTTACAGTCTTTTCTGAATAGCTAGATGTAACAGGAACGGGACACATACCTACCTACATACCAGTCGGCTTTCTGAGAATCTATCCACTAATCCATCTGTCAAACATCACACATGAAGACTTTGAGGCGCGCGTATTCTCGGATGCTTTGCTGCCGTCGTCACAACATAAACAATCACTTCGAGGCATATACTTCGGGGCGCCTGCAAACGTCACAACACAACCAAAAGGTTTACTTTGATCGAAAGGCTTTCGAAAGCCCGTTCAGTTCTGGTGATACGGTCTGGTTTGAAGCAGCGGCTACACCATTTGACGTCCATGCGAAACCGTCAAAACTTGGAAGGGTTGTTCGTCATGGAGGAAGTGTTATCATATTTGACCTACCGAATCAAGATTCCTAGTGCTACTAGTTCCTCAAATTTTGTTCACTTCAGTGGGCTAAACCAGCAAAGGGAGTCTCGGGCGAGGAGGTCACCTCCCGTTAGAAGCGGGAGCATCGTAATTCATAGCTTCTTGTTTTAACCTCCCCCACTTTTCTGTCTGGAATGACCTTAACTTCAGACACTGATCCTGCACGTTGTTGCTGTGGCTTATTCGGCAACGCCTTGATGTCGGCCATCGTTCTTACTAGGTGGATTGGGTTTGACTTCCGGTACCGGCGTTCTCTTTGGTTCTCATTGCTTGCCATCAGGTCTATTGCGACCTGATTTACGTGTGGGATAAGTAAGAACTTGGTATCAGGAGTCGCATGAATATCACACTAGATATTCTGGAAGTGGTATTTCCACGCTTTACGTCCTGGTCTCAGTGCGGACAGAGTGTTGGGATATGCCATACCTGACTACCTTTGCTTCGTTACTAAGTTAAATGACTTTTTGTATCAGCAGTACCAACTGCATCCCATGAAGTTTAAAATACTTTAAGTGCTCCATATTGCTAACACGGCCTTATACAGTAGACTGCCGAGATCAGCTTACTTCACCGGCATTCTGACAACAGTATCGCAGTGCATTAGAAAAGTATGCAGTAAACACTGTATGATGTGTGGAGGATGACATCACGTGATGAGCAGCAATATAGTGTAATTCTAGACTTATTCGGAATGTTGCTACGTTGCGCTTGGGTAAACCTATACGGTGAAACATTAAAAATGAAGCATATGAAGGATATTCAACACGAGAGCCAATAAACATTGAGCATGATCATAGTCATCTTCAGCACACAAAATTATTGCAGATGGAAACATCTTTAACTTAGCAACCATTTCATGGTTAACCAGTATCATTGCAACCTGTGTCATCCTCGTGGATTTTCATACTGTAGACAACAGGGAAGAACTTGAGCATAGAATGTTCGTAGCTGCCCATTGGTGACCAATGGCATACTAACGGTATCTTTGCGGATTATTCACAAATACCAAGTTCTAGGTCGCCTCTACTCTGGCAGAACATTCCTAATACTTTGTAGCCCGAGGGTTTCAATTAATTTGATAACCAACCTATTTGATCCACCAGCAAATATGCATAGCGAATGGTTGATTTGCTCAGTGGCGATAGGCGTAAAGTCACCGTAAAATTTGTCTGTTTCTGAGTTCGGTCAAAAAAAGATGTAAAATTAGTGGCCAGAGATAAGTCTGTACGACCCTACTTATACTTCACTGAAGACTCTACAGGACATGGCTCACGGTCGGCACAAGTGGCATGCCTGCTGCCGTCGGCTATTCAAACAAAATGTTTAAACTGTGTCTGGTGTTGTGTTATTCACGAGGTAATGAATGGTTATGACGCAATGCTGTGGAAGTCACAAGGAAGCTGTCTCACTGAAGCCGTTTTTATCTTTGCGTGATAGTAAGCTGTTGGCGACCGCATATTGTTGACATTGTGCAGGCGCCTTGCCCCTGGATGCTTCTTTAAGGTGTTGAGGTTCTACTCTGGTTCCGCTTCTCTCGGTTTTGTTAGTCTTCACTCCTTAGGACATGGTGGCTACACGGAAACGAAGCATCAGTCAAAAATGACCAGTGTAATGTTGTTATTATTCTCGTTGATGATGTTGATGAGGAGGAGCATAAATAGTGAATACTGAAAATAAGGGAGTGAGAAGATAATCATCTGTGTTACTCCACCGATATATTATCCATCACGCACAAGAAATACGGTCATTTATCACCACACACTGTCAACACAACTCAGGTGTACGATGAGATCCTATCCAGATGCGACTCCCTCTCGAAACCTATGATCCGCAACGTGGAAGTCCGACAACGATTTCGATTCGACTATTTTGTCTGGCAATCCATTCCAGTATTTCACTACTGGACACGCAATGCATAGAACGTGAGATATCCGTCTCAGATCCAGCCCTAAGAGCTTGTCATAGTGTTTGCGTGCGCGGCTTGAGACAAGCAGGTACAGCAGTGGGGTCGGCAGAGGAAAGTCGACCTGATGTAATATCTGGTGCATCATTATGTGGATCACTCGAAACTGAACATGTAACAAGGTGTACAGCCCTAGTCTCCTGCATTGGTCTTCGAACGACATACACAATAAAACGTGGGTGAGCCTAGTAGCCACATGTTGAACACGTTCCAGTTTTGCCTTGCGCCGCAGGTGCTTGGACAATCAGCGGGTGAGCTGTACTCCATCATCAGTATTAATATAGAAGAGAAGAGACGAGTGGTTTTCTTTAGACCGAATACAGAAGCTGCTTTAGACCGCCCGAAGCATACGCAGCCCATATCCATATGTCTCCTTCATTTTGCCAAGGACTTCAAGAACACGCTGAAATCCTTCACGGAAAGTGTGGGATGTAGCGATTGCCCGGCCAGAGTATACGTGCACCCATCGTAATCCTTCACCAGGAGCATACATAACCACTTTAATGGCTTGACCGGCAGATCGACATCTGTAGACTATATGGACAGACGCTGGCGGCATCAGTGACGCGTGAAATTTTTAAGTCGTCTGCAAGCAAAGCACAAGGCGGCTGAAGAAGCCGAGGCAAATCGTTGATGTGAATTAGGAATAAACAGGGCCCAAGTACTGTACCGTAGGGTAGTCCCACGATGGAGGGATACCTGCAAGTTACGTGATCATTCACTTGCACTTTCCATTTCCTTCCAATAAGGAATTCGCTGATCCACTGGTGCAGTCATCTACCAAATCCGCACATCCACTGCTTGTCTAGGAGGACTTCATTCATTAGATTAACAAACGCTATACAAAAATCAATGTACTTCACGTCGACCAAATTTTCCCGGTTCAGCGCCTGCAACCATTCATGCCACATCCCCAGCAAGTTGGTGATGCATAAGCGTCCTTTCATGAAACCTTTCTTTTCCGGTGTCAGGGAGTCATTCGACATCAGATGCTGCTGCTGCTGCTGCTGATGATGATGGTGATGATGATGATGCTGGTGTTGGTGACGACGGCGACGTGCGTATGCTCAATTAACCTAGTGTTATGGGATTCCGTTTTATACCCTGTAGTTAGTGTCGGGGATCACGTCCATTGAGAGGGGGCAGTTACGGACCATATTATAGTAGGGTGAATGTTTTAGCACCTCGTATCAAAGCTAATGGTGCATGGTCATATAGAATGGGGCCAGTCTTAAAATGGTGCCACATCTGAACCTGAGCTGAGCAAGGACAGCAGCAAAGATGGTCGTGATTAGGCAAACCAAAAGCCGACAAGGAGTTCCCCCAAAATTCACTGCTTGCGGAAGTTTTGACCATAGAGCTGTCATATAATTTTCTGCAGATAAAAGCAGATGTTTGAAGCCTAAATTACTTCTACGTATAAGTATTTAGGCTCGCTATCTCAGCTTTTATCTCCTGATTTAAAGCAATGATAAATGTGAGCAATCTGCACCTCCAAACCCTTTCATTTGAACTTACGAAATCTTTCTGCCAGTAATGGTGCAACTATGTGAACTTTCAAAAGAACAAAACAGCTGGAAGCGAAAATTTGTGTATCTCGTGGAATGCCCATACTGAGTCGTTAGATCATCGTCAATGAAGACTAAAATCTCAATTATGAAAGGCACTGCCTAGAGCCTCGACATTTTTCATACAGCAGTCTAACAGTTTTCTTTCACTCAGCTTGACAAACTAGACCCCTCTGTATTTGCTAGGATATAACCTTGAGACATAGTAATCTGAGTGACTCAAGTAGACGCCATTTGTTATGGAAAACAACGCACTCTGTGTGAGCAAACAGAGTCTATTTGCGTGTCGTGGTTGGTCGAGAACCTACTAAACCTTTTGTTAATTTGTCTAATGTTGTTCCTGTCTTTGTGGCTATATCCAAGATAACGAGGAGTTTCCCATAAATTTAGCAAAATTGTTGGAACGTACTATGAATGGTTTTGGCAATAGTTCTGTTAAACAAAAGATCAAAAATACTCAACTAGAAGATGGAGCCTAGGGCAGACAACGTAACACAATATTCCATTGATAACATTGACGACCGAATGTAAGGACACCGCAGGATACCTATTGTAATGGCGAGATGAAATAAGGCAGAATCTTTTACCAACAGTATCACATATTCACAAACACAGATAATTTCTCCTCTAGACAAAATGGGGCAAAGGATTTTGAGACTTTAGAACATACCAGCATTCGTCACTTGACTTAGCAGTAGTAGAAGCAACTTTCTTGCCTCCAACCAGTGAAATTTGCTACAGTTCCTTCGTGTTGCTGGATCCCCCTCGAGTGAGTCCGTTTGTGAGTTGGCTGTACCCCGTTGCGTATAACGGTGCTCATTTTTCGACTCATCCAACGATTCCTCATCATTGCCCACCAAGCTTTCAATAAGGTAATGCGACCGATTAGTCCACTCGAGGGGACACAGCTGGCACTGGGTTCTCTTCTTGTCCGTCGTCCAACAGGAGTGACAAGGCCGCGAAGGCAATATTGCACAGTCCACGGAGGTCAGCGGGGCCGCGAGGGCAGCGTACAAGTACCCACGCGCTGCATCCTCCGGAGTATCTGGGCTCAGTGGTATGGTCACCTGGTGCCAGCTGGGAATAAGATGATGCTCATGGTCGAAGTATTGACGATCGTTTGACTCCGTCAGCAAATAATACTGCTCAGAAACGGGAATGAATGGCTCCGTGGAAAGTGCTGCGGGATCAGGATCGGCAAATAGTTGGGAATTGTGGTGCTCGAGTTGAACAGATGAGGACTGTGAGAGGAGGAAAGGGAGAAATAGTGCCCAGGTGGACGGGAGCTGCGCAATTAGTGGAACATCCTAATGTTGAAAACAAATCTAGAACGGAACAGTGTTTCGATTAGCCAAAGAACCCCGCAATCGTACAAACCTAAGGACAATTCATTCAAGCTGGATTCCACTCTGTTCTTAATCCACCTCAAGGATTTAGCTCAGCTTCTTCGGCCACCGTGTGCCATGTTTGCAGTTGACCTGCGGATTCCGACAGTGATTAGCACCCCGACGACTGTGCCCTAATTCAGTTGGACCCCAAGCGTCTCTCCATGTGATCTGTAGAAGTCCGCTTCCTGGGCAACCCAACCATGTTGGTACTTATGAGCATGGGGAAGGGTGGTGAGGAATGACATTACATGCTCGACCGCCAGCCGTTACACCCCAGATTTCGGCGAACGACCTAGGTGTACTGTCGCACTGCCCACTGAAGTCCGTGGATAAACTGCACAGCCTATATAGCTAAATAAATAAACAATTTATTTTTTGTAATGGATTGCGTATGCTTTGGATGTTTAACCATCGTTTCTGTATTCGGTTTGAATAGGTCACTCCTCGTCTCTTCTATTCCATCTTAAGACCATAGCCCGAGTACGGCTCGCCCGCCTACTATCCAATCGAAGAGAGAACGAGGCGCCAGGGAAGCACGATCTCTATGTCAAATGGACAACAGGGTCACCAGGCTAGCACACATGGCTATATATGTATAACAGAATTTTTCACCCCACAACTCAGTGCACATTGTCGCGCTCGGCGTCACATCCTTGCACCAGTTATGACCATTCTGCGAGATAAGTTTTAACTGACTTGAACTCGTATCTTCGTGTCCGCGCGTCTTATTCTGACCGGATTGCGTCATTTCTAATGCTGTCGACTAGCTCAATCGCGGTTGCGTCGCTCTCCTTGAGGTTACTAGTGGAGGCAGGACCACAGACGTACATCACCGGAAAACTGGACTCTTCAACACTAAGTCTCCCACTCTTCTCGGCGCGCGTCAGATATCATCGGTCAATCGTGACCGTTTACCGGTTTTGTCCGTGGATCTCGAGTTGCTTTCGTCGTTGGTTCCCAAGTTAGTTTCCGTTTTCCTTAGTTTTCGAGGCTTTTCCAGCTCTCCTGCTTCTCGATTCTCGTGTCACTACACGATCAGCCGACGCGAGGCACGGAAGATCGAACGGATCCAACATGTCGTTACCGGGCTCATTGCAATTCTACAAGGATTACCGTTGGTAGGAAGGAAATCATTAGGCTAGAAGCCGAGACGTCAGTCGTCGATACGGAGCCAAAGCATGACCGGTGAGCCGTCACTTTCCGCATGGACTGGACGAACACGTAGTCAACTGGGTGACCTGGCCAATTAGTACGAAAGCGTCGACGCTTGCTTAGTCGTAATTTGACCTAGATATTTCCCATGTGAGATTTATATACCGTTCACGAATGTTTCATTTGGTCTTTATATTGTACGGTGTGATCAGCTAAAACACCTCGCTTCCTCTACTAGTCCGAAACCGGCCTTTTGCCTTGTCTGTGGGGCCAGTGACTTCGAGGAACCGGTCAAGAGCCAACGTTGAAACAGGCGAGGGAGGATCACTTCAACCGTAGAATACCAGTGCGAGATACCAAGACTCTACATTTCGTCTCAGCTTCGGGGGGGGGGGACGTCAATCTCATGGGGACCTACCGCTTATTACTTCTCGGGGAGTTCCGTTTGTTAAATTTGCTGCTTTACCTGTGAACGTCATGTAGCCTATGAGGACACTGGTACAAATTTGTGGTGCGGAATATAGAACGAGTACCCCAACCCCTGTGTTTCGAACAGGGAGTAGTACGTGTTTAAACAGTTTGCCCAAACAGGTGGAGGCCAAACAGGTACAGCAAGTAAAACCTTTCCTGGATTTACGTTTCGACAACACTGCATTCAGGGAACTACTGCAAAATTGAAGCGACGTCTAACATTCTGGATCTCAGTACCACTGAAACCCACCGTTTTTATTGATACATACATGCTTTAGGAATGGGTTGGGTTTCAACATTTACCGCGTACATTTGTGGCATAATTGATCATATTCCGATGGAGTTGTGCAGTTAACTTACTAGTTGCTCTTCCAATACCGTGTTTATTATTCAGTATTCAGAAGACACCATGCCAAACTAGAGAGCGTAATGATTAGAAGCAGCCATGCCTGCTACCAACTCGAGACCCATATCCGGATAACAGGATTTAAACCGCCAAAGCAGCAATTGTGGCAAATGATCCAAACTTTTCGTATCCAAATCTGATGGATGTGAATAGATTTGTTGGCGTGAAACAACCTTTACAGCCTCCATATGAGAACCAGTTTCGCGTTCTTACACGTCATGCTAAGTATTTTACTGGCAAATTACACAACAGAAGGGAATATATTAGCAGTGACTGTTCGAAAACTGCTTATACAGATTTTCTGGAATCCATACCAGCAGATGCCACTTCAAAAGAGAGGCAAATGGCTATCGAGGTATCAGACAGCAACTCCTCTAACCGAGACCTCCAGCAAAGAAAACGATACGAGTCTATCGATCCGGACCATTTGTGCACTAGCCCAGCTAAGGTGTCGCCCATTGAAACAAGTAACACAACACAATCCTTTTTAATCCTCCACAACACGTGTACTCACTTGCATTAGGAGGAGAGTATCGTTAGGCTGGAGAGCCTATGGTGCGCAGAGGCTCGTGGTGGCTAGACCCTGACTGATGGTCTACCCACTGCTGCCACTGTTGTGCCATTGTCTCATGTCCTGGATGCCTTCTCGTGGTGACCGCTAGGTGGGAGTTGGCTTACGCCCTTCTCCCTGCTAAGATCCAGGACATCAATCCGCATGAGACAGTGAACCAAACATGTGCTAGACCCGCTGCCTTTCCGGTGAACCTTTAATCGAACACTTTGGCTGAGGACCCGAGTTGTTCTCTTGTCACGTATGGACTCCCTGCCAGTATTCTAGTCTATCCGCTTCGGAGATTAGAAGGTGGTCGATGGCCCACTTCCCTTAAAACCTAACCATGGGAAGGCACAGCCCTTCGAGTTTTAAGCTCACAGCTAGATTGGCGTAGAGTACGAGTGCCACGCATTGTCTCTGACGGTGGGAGGACACCTCCGGGTGTTCATTGGTTTCCTACTGCCCGCCTCAAGCCAGGCAAACCCTGGTCAAATTGGTGAAAACCCGCCAAAACCCACCTGCGTCTGGCCGTGGTTGCAGGTGTATCATACTACGGTCGCAAAAGATATATAAATCCTTTCAGTACCGCAAAGGCTGCGTGCGACGGCCGTCAAGCAGATCCCAATCTGTCTCTGCAATCACATTCCCGAGCTGGATCTGCTCTCCACTGCCTTGTGGGTCAGGCTGTTGAGCCAAAGGCTCCGGACGGAGTCCCCCAAGCAAATATCCGAAGCACAACGACCATCACGCGCGCGATTGCCCATCAACGCAATCGTATGCCTGCGCACAAAACCCTCAGTATAGGGTGCTGAAACGTGCGCACACCACTGGAGCGGAACTCCAGTGATCACCCCAAGCGACTCATGGCTTTCGTCGCGATGGAACTGGCGCGCTACGACATCAATATTTCGGCGCTCAGTGAGACTCGGCTCGCTGAGCAAGGTAAGTTGCATGTAGCAGGTGCTGACCAAACATTCTACTGCATGGGCAACGCCACCTCAGCACCACTTGATCATTTTGTCGGTTTTGCAGTATCAGATCACCTCCATGGCCAGCTGGTGGGTGAACCAGCAGGCATCAGCACGCAACTGATGACTGTTCGCCTACGACACGGAAGTGGTAAGTTTGTCAGCTTTCTAATCACGTACGATTCGATCTTGTGTTATCCTGATGACATGTGTGATCAATTCTGTACTCGGTTATCCTCCGCGATACGGTCTGTGTCGAGGATCGACCGACTATTTCTGCTGGGTGAGTTCAAGGTGCGCGTAGGGCGTGATGCCTCCGTGTGTACTGAAGTCATCGGTCCGCATGGTATTGTTTCAACAAATGTGAACAGGGACATGCTGCTCTCACTGTGTCACTTACGGCCTGACAATCACAAACACTCGGTTTGCACTGAGCGTGAGTGATACCACAACTTGGACCCACCGACGGAGTGGTCACGCTCACCTGCTCGACTATGTCCTCGTACGTCAGCATGATATGCGTGAAGTACACATGGCATGTGTACTGTGTGGAGCTGATTGCGGCATTGATCATAAATAGGTGCGAAACAAACTGTAAATCTGCACTCCCACTGTGAATCGGCGTAAACGTAACATTCTCTCCCTCGGTACTGTCGCGAAACGTATAGAGCTGGAAAAGGCGATGGCTGCAAGCCTGTGTGGTGATGTGGAATGCATTGCCACAGTGGGCGACCTGTGTCACTACATTTGAGACTAGGTGACAGATGCTGCTGAGGAGACCATCGGGCGCACAAACTGCAAGTGACCTGATTGGTTTGATGAGAACAAGGCGACGATTGGCGCATTGGTGTGTGAGGAGAATGCAGCATTTACTGCACATTTGGCAGACTGTAGTGACTTGGGGGAAAAGAGTCAGTTTCGCGGAAATCGACGGCGACTGAATCGCGAGCTCGGTCGCATTAAAAATGTAGGTTGGTCGGAGAAGGAGAAGCAGATGTAATGCTGTGCCGAACGCCGCCAACACAAGGAGTTCTTTGACTACTTGAAGATGGTGTATGTACCGAGGTTGGAGAAGCTGAGGACGCTAACCGAAGGTGCCTTATTAACTACCTGCACACAGACTGCAGACATAATGCAGAGCTGGCGAAAACACTTTAACTGTCTCTTGAACAACCGTTCGTAGCTTGACAGACCTAAATTTTACGGCCTGAAGCAGCACGATGTGTAGGTGAGTCTGGTGGACACGCCGACACTGGATGAGACGCAGAGAGCTCTTGCGCAGCTGCGAAACGGCAATTGTACC